GCTAGTATATATATATATTATTATAATATATATATATATATATATATATATATATAGATTTTGCAGCATTAGCTGTTTACTGAAATTATGAAGAGATTAAGGGCCGGAACATAAACTTTTATTAAGACAAAAGGAATCGAACCAGAGTCTTTCAGTTTCATCCTTAAGATAGAAATAAAGGACTTTAATTGGTTGAATTTCTCATATGGATAGGACACTTTCATGGGTGTTCGCAGGATTTTTTCCAGGGAGGGGCATGATTAAAGTTTTTTTTGTTTCTTATTATTACTTATTATCTTTCTTAAATTTTTAAATTCAATTTTTTAAATTATTTTGTTAGTTATTTTAATATTTTTATATTAAATAAAATTGCAAATAAATGCCAGTGTTTATTCATAAGAAGAACAAATGCTTAATTTTTTTACTAATTCCAGGAGAAGCCCCCTTCTCTGCGGACACTCATGATAAATCTCGATTATATATGTGTGCATTTGTGTAATTTACCGAAGCTCGTATTATATTGCCTTCCCCCTCCTTTCCTATTTTATTCCTTGCAGAAGGCTCCATTTATCTTTATCTATGATATGGCGGTCATCTCATGAAACAACGATCCACGAAATACGACTTAATTATTACTATATCTTATATGTTCATTATCGGGTCACAATATCGTGAAGCTTCGATAACAATAAAATAACGATTTTTAAAATTTTTGTTCATTTTTGGAACAACCATATGCTGGAAGTTTCTGAAAATTACGTCAAACCAAATTATTTAAGTAGAACTATTTTGCACAGATATTTTGCCCTGTTTTTAAATGTTAAAATTATAAAATTAAGATACAAAAAGATAAGAGTTACATACATTATTATTGAATTGACAGGTAATTATTTTTTAATTCCTCTATACTTTTAAAATCGAAATATAATTTTGTTGCAATCTAATACTTGTGCCTAGCCCTTTTCATGAATTTTTATTTATATATTAGAGCTTTTTCGAAATTTATTATTTTAAAATAAAATTAATAATTAATAATATAAATATACAACTTTCCTCTGTATAGCAGAAAATAAATCATTGTAAATATCACATGTATTATATAAAATATTGTATTTATTATTATCATTTATCTCTAAAACTCCAAAGATGTGCGGAGAGAACATTTAAACAAAATCTAATATATTTACAAGAAATAGATTATATGTTTTATATCTTATATATCTCTAACTAGTTTGAAAATAAAAAAATAATACATACAAAGTATATTTCTAATATATAAAATATATCTATTGAAAATTTATACTTGACAATTTTATTTATTTTTTTTGATATTTTACTTTTCGTTTTTTTCTTTTGCGTTTTTTTATGTTTCTCTTCCTTCTTGTCCTTTGATTTAGATTTCTTCTTTTTTTGTTTATTTTTCTTCTTGGCTGAAATTTCTTCATCCTCTGACGATGATGAAGAAGAAGAATCCGTTGTAGTGGAACTGGACAAGGTGGAACTAGATGATGAACTAGATTCATCTGCGCTGGAGATTTCATCTTCTTGAGTGTTTAATACTGGTACAGGAATTGGCTTCGAACGGGACTTCAAATGTTCTCTCAAGTCATCGGTCAAACCACCCAAACCGATGGAGGTGAAAAAGTTGATGGCAAAACGCGTATTTTTCGGATCATCTCTGGGAAATAGTCCTTCGAACACCTCCTGCAAGGTCGGATCCTTGACTCGTTCATTCAGTTTCGTCAGACCCATGTATTCGGAGAGTTCCTGAAAGAGGATCTTGATGAAAATTCTGTTGGAGCTGGTGGTATCCTCCTCGTTCAGTTTTATGCACGACAATACGCTCCACGAAATGGAATCCGTGAACAGCAAATGGGCGAAGAACTTGGAGACGTTTCGTAATTTGTTTGTGTCGAGACGGTGTATTGTGTGATAAGAATCTTGAAGATCTGCTCGAACGGGGTCACGTACATCTTGTTGATGGCGCAAAACCGACCGGCCAAAAGGCCAAAGAACTTTTCGTACGTACGCATCTCTGCACAGCAATCCAAAAACATGTGACATAGCTCGATCTCCTGTCCCGGCTTTAGTTGCATCTTCATCAACTTGTGGGCGCATTCTTCGAAATCAAGCGAGGAGTGTATCGTCAAATATATGGTTCGACGAAGGGCGGTCAAATTTGTCTCTGTATTGTCGAATATCACGTCCTTCTTTCCCTCGCCTTGTTCAGCGTTGCTATCTTCGTCCGAGCTCTCCTCCTCCTCTTCCTCCTCGTTATCATCTTCCGTATCGCTGACATCAGAACCAAGAATCTCCTTACATAATTGTTTATACTTCTCCTCGCTGGCCAGATATGCTTCGTCAAACTTGAAGACATTTAATATATCTTGCGCGTTCATCTCGTCGTCCAGTCTTATCAAATGAGTAATTTGATTTTTCTCCTCCACGAGATCCAATTCCTGGAGAACGGCTTCGTGATCCTTGAAACCGTCCTTCCTGATCTGAAACATAACTTCTATCATGTACTGAACTCGCTTGTCCAATTGACCTTCGTGCAGTATATTTCTCAGCATCTCAAAGATAGCTTCTATGCCTCTTCGTGAGACTTCTGTCAACTTCATGCCGCACTCCTTCAGGAACGCTATGGCCACTTCGACAGAATCGTCCGTTGGGGTTTCCAGCAACAACGTCAAGATTTCTAAAGCTATAATCTCATAGGCCACCCGCTGATTAACCAGATGCGCTATAAAGGTACCTGAAGAGATGCACAGAGGTTTATCGTTTCTCTTAAACCCGCGTTTAAATTGCAAAACCAGCCGGGTCAGTACCAGTTCACCTATATTGGGGAATTTGGAGTTGATTATAGCTGTTAGTGCTGCGTAAACTGGGGTGAATGTTGGAGAGGCGGCCTGAGCTTGAATAATGGACCTCGCCAACAGACCTCTACCGCGAACAATGTTCTCGCGTAGCAATTCCCTAGTTATAATTCCTATATTACTAGTGTTGATCTTATTGATGTAGCCATGGATGGACTTCTTCAACGCCTCCCATGCAATGCGTTGATAAGCTGTTCCAGACTTATCAGTGATCTCTGCCTGAAGCATACGCAGCTTGGCAGGTGGAATGTAAGCACCTCCCGTCTTCGAGGTCAGAAGATCCACCGTACGCTTCTGCCTGACCTCATCTAGCTTCTCTTGCGTTTTATCCTTGATACCTGGTTCTCCATAATACCTGCTTCCTATCTCTTCCTCCTTACTTGGCCTTTTTCGGTCCCTTTCGCTATTACTGTCTCTATGATCGTCGTCGTACCTGGAACTTTTGTGATGATTATCGCGTCTAGCGTGTCGATGATGCTCGTCGTCGCGTCTGGAACTTCGATGATTACCGTCTCGTCGGAAACTCCTATAATCGTCGTCGTCGTCACGTCTGGAGTTGTTCCGATCGTCGTTATACCTGGACTCTCTTTTACGATCATCGCCGCGTTTGTGATCTCTTCGCTTGCGATAGCGTTCCTCAGCCTCTTCTTCGTCTCGTTTCGAACGCGATCTCTTCATTTTTGTGTATTTGTATCTCTAACCTAACGCTCGGTACAATGCTTGTTTTTCGGATTGCTTCAATTTTTATAAAGTATAAAGGTCGTGACACGTGAATGGTTTGATCTAAAGGCTGTATCACACTGCGAGTTAGGATTAGATTGAAATTTCACCAATCAGAGCAAAGTTCACTAAACTTGAGATTGGTTTTCTTTATTCTGATTGGTTATATTTTAATCCAATTTGTGAATATTATAAATAATTATAATTATTTATAATCATTATTTATAATAAAATTAATTATAATAATCTATAATAATTTTTTTATTATAATTATAATTATTGTAATTTTATTATAATTATTATAAATATTTCTAGGATCTCTAACCAATCAGTCAGCAGCTGCTTTGCTCTGATTGGCCAATCCGACGTAGAATGTCCAATACAGAGCTCTGGTCCAATAGAAAAACTTGTTTTCTAGTAATTCCAGTTAGTAATATTTTAAAATCAAACAGGATAATTTTCGGGATTTTAAAATTCTGTAGCCAATAGCCAATCGCATAGTGTGTATTGTTTTTTGGCGAAGACGGTAATTAAACTCTCGTGGTATAAAAGATTTAACTTAATTTGCTTTTTTGTAACATCATATTTCAGAACTTGCTTTATTTTATTATAAATAAAATTATAAAGTTAATAATAATAATATATAAACGTCAATGCAAAATTATTAGAATTAATAGGTTTTCAAGGCACAAAAAATTACTCCATTTTTGTTTGAATTTGTTATTCTCTCTTAAAAACTAATTATCTATAGTATTTATTAGAAAAAAAAATATAATTACTTTATGCTTTTTACGGGATGTTGAGAAATTGATTATTTTTATTAATTATTTTTTAATTAATTAGTTAATTAACTCTTGTTTGTTAGACGTTTACATTGTCATTAACTTTAAAATTTATTTTTTAAAAAAGTAAAAACGGAACAACAAATTCTGAAATATGATTGTTATATGAAAGAGCGAATAAATTTTTTTGAAAATACGTCAAAATTTAATTACGTCACTAGCGTCACGTTTTCGTATTGACATTTATATTGTTATTAATTTTATCATTTATTTATAAAAACAGTAAAATATGGAGAAAATTTTGAAAATTGAACATTATACAAAAAATATTTATTGAATTTTAATCATTTCTTCAATGTTAATATTTCTTAATAAATTAAAGTAAAATAAATAATTTTTTATTAATTAAATTAATTAATTTTTAAAGAATTATTTAATTACTTTTTGTTTGTTAGACGTTTACATTGTTATTAACTTTATAAAAAATTTATTTTTAAAAAAGCAAAATGAAGCAACAAATTCTGAAATATGAATATTATGAAAGAGCAAATAAATTTTTTTCGAAAATGCCTCGAAAATTTAATTACGTCACTGGCGTCACGAGCTGCGACAATTTACGATGCGGAAAAGTTACGTCATCTGGCACGAAGCTCGCGCACTAGAATCGATGACGGTATCGCACGGCGAGTCAGTTGCCAACAAATATGGCGCTTGTCAAATAACAACGCTTCACGCTGATGTGTAACGTTTAATAGTATTTAGTGCATCGCGCTGTTATTTAACGCGCATCATTATTATTCCGCGCGTCGGCGAACTCTTTTTTACGGTTTTGTATGAGTGTTCGAGGTTAAGGCGAAATTTTCCCCCAGGAAATCCCTTCGGAAATCGTCATTTCTACGTGCAACTAGTGTGTGCAGTGTGCATCGGCGACAGTTCTTCCGCGGTGAGTCAGAAATAAGCGTGCACACGCAACGTAAAACGGGCGAGTCTCTAATAGAAGGAGAGAGAGAGAGAGAGAGAGAGAGAGGAGAGAGAGAGAGAGAGAGAGAGAGAGAGAGAGAAGAGAGAGAGAGAGAGAGAGAGAGAGAGAGAAAAATTGTCACACGCGTTCAATTGGAGCATTCGAAGTGAAAAGAATTAACCGATCGTTAATCGAGCCAGCCAACTCGACAATCCTTTCTCTTTCGCGAAATCTATGTGTATGTACCTACTTTTCTTCTAAAGAGAGATAACTATTATTTACAATCTGGATTTTTTCCAACTTCCAAATTAATTAATATTAATTATCTACATATTATTAAGAAAAAATTATAACTGCTTTATGCATTTTACGGGATGTCATTTTTATTTTTCTTTCATTTATTTACGCGAAGTTCATTTAGAAACATTAACTGAAAAAAATTATTAAAATAAAATATTTTCATTCTCCTTCGCACATCCAATAAACGAATAAAAATAAAAGATGATGAAGATGTATGCTTTATTTAATTTTGCAATTATTAACCGTTGAAATTGTATTAAATATTAAATGTATAATTTATGTTTACTAAAAAATGTATCTGATTCAAATAAATATTTATTCAAATACTTCTTTATACATTATTTATTTAAAACAAGTAAATATTTATTTGCTTAATTTGAAAGAGTATTTCTTCAAATAAATATTTTCCTATGTCGAATTAATATTATTAGTTTTAAATAAATAATGTCTGAAAGAATAATAAATATGAATAATATATATAATTTATTCAAATTTAATAATTTTTTGCTTGTACAATTGATTGAGTGATAAAAACAGTTTGAAATTTCCTATGCTGTACGATTGAACGTGGCTTTGTTGAAGTGTGTTAAAAGTTTGTGTCATTAAAGAGAATTGAGATATATTGAGTATTTTACAGTAATATTTATATTTTATTTATATAATAATTTTTATATAATTTGTTTATATTGATAAAATTGTATTGGAATTTTTCATTTATGCCATATTATGCTAATCTATGCCACTATGTGTATATGTACCTAAATTATGTTATTACTGTTTCAGAATAGAAGACAGTTTCGAAAATGCCTACACAAACGACAGAAAGCGATGATATTCGAGTGAAAATTATATATAATGGGTAATGTATATTATAAAAACTGTTTTGCAATTTAGTTTAATGATATACATGATTCTTTTTCTTTCACATACTTGTCTTTAATGTAAAGAGTGATATTTAAGTTTTTTCTGAAAATATATATATATAAAATTATTTCTAAAAAAGTTTTTAACATTTTTATTTTCAAATTTTATGCTGTATCTGGAACAAAAAAGTCATATACAATTACATTTCGACAATTAATACAATATAAGTATTTTCTTGAAGTATATTTAGAAATTTAATTTAAAAAGATTTAGTGAGAATTTATATTAATACATTTGCAATTGATAATTTTGTCACTTTTCTAACATTGAAAACCAGATATAATAAATTTAAATCTATAACTGGTTAATTGAGTAGTTTGTGTACCTCATAGTTTTGTCATTAGAATAAGAAAAAAAATACTTTAAAATATTATGTTTGTAACTAATTATTGTTTGAAATTGAAGGAAATGTACTTGTTATAAATCAAAATAGTGATAATATCAAATTATATACATACAAAATGTTAAAATTTAAAAGACTTAAAATTTATTATATATATTTTGAAAAAATTAATTAAAATTTAAATTTTTTTCTATGCCATTTTAATAATAATTTTATTTTTTTTACTTGAAACACTTAAAAAAGAGAATTTATTTAGTTTTGTCGTATTCTGTGCTGTAAATATTAAACAAATTTATTTTGATTTTTGGATTAAAATTTGTTTTGATTTGAACTTAAAATATAAAAAAACATGTTACCACATTAGTGACTATTAATAGGTTCTTTTTAAATCTATTCTTTAAATTAAATTAAAGTATCTCCAATATATATATATTATATTGTATTAATTGTCAATGTAATTAATATTTGACTCTTGTTATACTATGGATATGGTACATTTATAATACAAAGATCATATTGAAATAAAATATTTTGAAACAGATGTCTGATATGTGATGTATTTTTTTATCAGAGAAATGCAAATCACCTATATCAGTCTGGGATTTCCGTGGACACATTGCGTGAAGAAATGCGGACAATATGCCGTTTTTGGCACGGAGCAATTCACGATGAAATGGGTGGATGACGAGGGCGATCCATGTAGGATTGCTTCTCAACAGGAGTTGGATGAAGCTCTAAGACTGTACGAACTCGAGAAGGACACGGAAATAACGATACACGGTGAGTATTTTGTGTACTTTATGCATTTAAATCGTCTAAGAACATGATTATCTTGCATGCTGTTCTTTAACTTGAGCGACACTAAATTGTTTAAAAATTACACATTGCATCGATATTAGACACTTAATTAATAATTCAGACGGGCCCATTGTGAATAATACACGTATAATGGTCAATTATTTATTAAACAAGAAGAAATAATACCTATCTTGTAATTATGTGATATCTGTTTAATATTCTATATTGAATAATTATACGGAAATCATCTATACATTGTACGTAGATGGGTATTCTAATTATGTATACACAATTAGCATTAACGTAACATATACGTGTGTGCTAAACGTTTCTAAACTTATGCTCCAAGTATCGACATGCGTCTTACAAGTTAGTATGTGCAGTATGTACAGTACATATATGTATACCTTGCTGATATATTCGTCTTATATGTATGGGTTATCATCGATGACGATATGAGTGATAATAATCGCCGATTAACAGCGAAATCTATTTGGCGTCGACATCGACCGATCTGACGATGTCATTCTCAAGGATAAAAGTGCTTTCCGAGCATTTAATGAATTTTTGTTTGCGAGAATTCTACAGTATTTGCGAAATATTTGGACAACTTCTAGGATGTATTCTTTACATCAAACTAAAGTAAAAAGTATATATTATATATTCATAATATAAAAAAATGAGGTGTTGCGGAATTAAAAAACAAAGCAGAATGTCCAAAACCATAGGGGTGAAATTGTCCATCAATAGTGTGGATGTCGTTAGATAGAACAAAAGGTGTAATAGTCATAACTTGATTGACAGATGAGATCATTTTCTTTTTTATATTAACGTTATTATTAAATAAACATATATAAGTTTATATACAAGTATAACATATACAAGTATTCTCGTAAACACCTTGTATGTACAAGTCATGCGGCGCACATATGTTGTGTTTAGAAATTCATATACTCTCCAAGACTTCAGGGAGACCCGATAAGTAGTTGTTTCCACTCATACTTCAGTACTAACTCGATATTGGGTTTCATTTGTGTGTAGAATACTTCTTGCAAGATGACTTGCTGATCCGTGCCATACGTTTCGCAGAAATTGCCTTTTGCTTTTTTTTGCGCGGGTTTAATAACAATCAAAGTTTTTTTTTGGCAAACTTATATAGAGAAAAAATCCGTGATTAATTTTTTTAAACAGAAAATATAGATAGTACATCGCGAGTATGTATTTCTCTGTTTCTAAACAAAGTAAAATTAATTTGCAATTTAAGTCGAGCGCAAACAACATACATGGTTTCTTCAAGAAAATAATACTGTCCTTCCTGATGGAGTGAGCTGAAATATTCACGAAACGTTGGAATCAAACATCTACGTCGTTCAAACCTGAAAACCAATTTAAATATTTATAGCGAAACCCTAAATATCATATCTCTATTTGTAAACAAAACATAATAGTTAGCAAATATAGGTAGTTAAAAATATTTTAAAGCAAATTTTCTATTTTTTTCTTATTTCAATACAGACCGAACTGTGTGGTAATCAGCTGAAAATTTACGTTTATTGTATAGGGTGTCCTATAGGAAATTGTTGAAACTAATCAGTTGTCATTTTTTAATGCATGCAGTTATTGAGAAAACAAAAATTGTGTTGGTAAGAGGAAAGTCTGCAGTTTTTAATGGATACAAATAAAATGTTTGTATATCAGTTTATTTTATTGATAAAAAGTAACGCGAAAAAAGTGCTAATAATCACATAAAATCACATAAACTAATGATAAATATTTTCAACAATGCCAGATTTAATAGCAACTATTAAAAGGATCGTCAATAACATTAAAAATGACATGTTAGAAAAAATTTTTACGAGTTTTTGTAAAAGAACAGAATTTTGTAAAAATTCAAATAGTGCGCACTTTGAAAATATTTTCATTAGTTTACAAATGTGATTATTAGCACTTTTGTATTATTTTTTCAATAAAATAAACTGGTATACCAATATTTTATTTATATCCATTAAAAACTGCTTATGTCCATTAAAGACTTTTCTCTTTACAACACAAGTTTGTTTTCTCAATAATGCATGCATTAAAAATGACAGCTGATTAGTTTCAGCAATTTCCTATGAGACACCCTGCATGCCACATTTAGAAAGGTGAAAGAAATTACCAGCTGCACATGTGTCAAGTATAACTTGACATCTCTTTTATGCAGCTTTTAAAGAAAGGTGACATCGTAAAAATTAATTAAAAAAATTTTTTAAATGACTGGGGATGTTTGATGTGCAGCAATGTCACCGCATCGAAAAATATGATGGTGTTCATACTAAGAAATATAAAAAAATTATCTTACATGCTTAACGATTTTGGTCTGCCACTTGCCGCCGTGCTCATTAGTTCACAGATATTTTAATTAATAACGCAATTTATGTTTTATTAAAAACTTTAACAATACGATCAACTCATAAAAAGACAGATAATTTAAATAAACATTTATGACAAAATAAAAAGGTTGTTTAGGTCTGTATTCATTGTCAGTGTCCTTTTTGTAAAAAAGTTACGTAAAGTCGATTATCGCATGTATTGTTGCCGCTTTTCCGCGTTGCGTGTGATTGGTTGTCTCGATTCGCATTATGTGTTATATTTATATCAAAAAGCTGCCTTTGCGAAGATTAATAGTTTGACAATTGTTCAAAAATAATATAATTAAATCAAAGTATATAAAATCAATGGCGCGCGCTTATGTTGTTTAGTAATATAAACAAGTGACGAGGTGTCATATCGACACAACGGTGGTCTTCTTTTTCTCTTTTTTTTTTTAGTATTCTAACAGGTAATAATTTTCGTTTATTGATTTCTGTATTTTTTTGCACATATTACTATTATAATGTGTTATTTTAGTAAGTACACTTGAAAAGGACCAAAAGTATGGTCGAAACGTTGTGAGATTTATTAAATAAAGAATTGCCAGTATTGATTGAGGAATATTTATTCCTTTTTTTTAAATAACGCCTTTAATGATTTCTTTAATAATTATTGCGAAGTTAGCAAAATGATATGAGATTTTTTTGTTTATCTCGATCCGTTCTACCTTTTTACGAACGTTATTGTAAAGTCATCGGACATTCTCGCGTGACAAAAAAAATGTCTCGGTTTTCTCGATGTGTATAGTCACACGTATCAGTCTTCATAAATCTGCGATGTCACAACATCAGTCGCAGCAGCAGGAGCTGAGACCACATGTTGTCATAGAAGGATAAGGAAGAATCGACAGGATGGATAGCAAAAGCTAAAAAGCAGCAAGTACAAAATTGATGACTCAAAGAAAGACGAATGGCCAAATAAAAAAACGATAAAAAAATAGGAAAATAAAGTAGATGTGCGTGTGGAATAATTTCTTCAAAGAGACTCCTCTATAAAAAAATAGAAAAACGCAAAGAGTAGAAGACTTCTCTTTGAGGGAAAGAAATAGAGTTAATGAAAAAACGTACAGGATGGTCCCGCGGGAAGTTGTTGTAACTAAATGTGTGCTTTCCCCCTTCTCCCCCCTTACGACTTAGATAAATTTTCTATTGTTCCCTAGTCTTGGACTTACCTCCCACTTTGCAGTTTTATTTTAATCTCTTTGGAGCAAAAACAGCGTTGAAAAATAGAGCGGTGGAAGAAAAGATTTATCTTATTGAGGGTTCTTTTCTAGAGAAAAAGTATACGCTAATATATAGTATATAGAGCATTTATTCATCAATCTTCATTCATACCAAGTATGGAATACATGGTTGTAAGCAAAAACACTCTAAAAAGATTGAAAAAAATTGTTTTTTTTTTTATACTCATGTACAGTGGTCCATTTTTTTAAAACGGCTTTTGATTCTATTTTTTATCTATTAAAATAACTGCAGATACATTATTTGCGGAGTAATCGACAATTTTATGTAACCATACTATTTATTATATAGGAAATTTTTTATGCATAATGGTAAACAAACGATTGTTTACAGTTTTCATAAAAAATTTGATTTTTTGTTTTTAAATAGCAATGTTGCATACTTCGAAAATATGTATTATTGATAAACTGATTTCTACACTTTTTATAAAAGCAAAATAAAATAAATGAAAAATTTACTAGAAATATATTTAAAAACTGCCAAACTATGAAATTTTATTTTTCCCCAAGACCCGTATGCGCAATAAAAAGAACCAATTAGCACTTCAGCAACTTGCCAGGAGAAACCAGTATACCATTATATATACTGTGTATGTTATATATATATATATATATATATATAATATTATATATATTATATATATAGGACAATATAAGATAGCAAAGAAGCGAATTATTCGAAAGCGGCGACGAAAGAAAAATCGCCGAATGATCAGCGAGCAAGAGCAAAAGTATAAAGACGAAGGAGGGAGAGAGGCGGATGCGCAGAATCTGTGGGTAAATATAGGTGGGTGTAGGACCGGCGGGGTGAACGAGGGTAGCAGGGGGAGGAGGGATATATGTATCACCTCCATCTAGACGCGATCCGCGTTCGCGATTCGGTTGGTAGCGTGCGCCGGGCGGCGGTGGCGGGCGGTTAAAGAATCTCGCCGCGGCGGTTAGTCGATATCCTTGCACAGACCGATCAACAAGGGCGACAGCAGGGGCCTTCCCCGAACGCGAACATGGCCGCGAGATCGCGAGATCGGTTGGGAGAGAAGTGTCGAGCGCGAAGAGAGGTGCAAAGGTCGAGTCGGGGGTTGCAAGGAGCACCTCTTACAAAAGGGTTGCAAGAGGGTTGAGTCATCGACTACGTTCGACTACTTAGTGGCGG